CGGCCTCATTATATTGTAACTGGCCTGGCCGGTCTGATCGGCCTGGCCAGCCTGGCCATAGGTCACCCGTAACACTAAAAAATACCATACGATATGTCACTTATACATTAAGAGTGTATGTACGATATAACCACACTCACTATTCACCTATTCGAAATATTCAATTTATCGTTATAAAATGATTTTAGTGACTACATGTAAATAATAAATATGTAATAGTAAGGCAATGATATTAACATTAATGAATATAGACAGATATTATACAATGTAGTTCGCTGTTATATAATGATAGTTAAATAATAAATACATGTATATTGATCTATGTATATAACTCGAAACATAAAGTATTTATCATGTTCTTTGATATTATTTTATTGTTTTTCTTTCTTGTTCAGTGGGTTATCAAAAAGATCCGACCAGAATTATTTTTGCATTTTGTGGCAACTTTTTAACCTACACAAGCTTTTTCCATGTAGTGATGGTATTTCTCAGGAGGATAATGCAACACCACGAATATTGACAAGTATTTTATATAGAAGAAATTTAATATTGCTTTAATGTAAACTCAAAAAATAATTGGATGTCTATTCATATTAATTGTTATGTCGATATTAATACATAGCGAATAATTTCGCATACGAACTTGATAAACGAAATTTTGCAAACTAATTTAACAGATAATTCATTTCCCTTATCATTATATTTCAAAAGTTATATAAAATAAATTATTAATCTCATTAGGGTCAAAAAATAATATTACTGTTATACACATAAAAAATTTCAGTTGAGTTAAAATAATAAACATGTAAATACAAAGAAACCACTTATGAGTTAATGAACTGTTAACAATCAAAAATTTGCATTTAATTAATGTCGATTTCATGACTACCATCAGGATAATGGTTTTAGACTCTAACAAATTTAAATTTTTATTAAGTTCTGGCGGAAAGTAATTACGGCCAGTTTTTTTATTCATTCAATTATATGATAAAATTATTTTGATAGTTAGTGCCTTTGAATAGGGAATTATGCCCCTTGATGTGATCTCAAATTTAATGGTCTAAAAATTTTGTAACTTGAAAGTTTTTTAACAAAAAAAAAACCTAAAATCGCAATAATTCGATAAATATTATTCTGATTAAAATGAAATTACTACCAAAATGTTCGTCTTATTGAGATGAATTTAATAAGATCAAAATTATAAATTTCTGATCACTAGTTATTGAGAAAATAAGCATTGAAAATTTTACAAACTGCTCGCTCCTATCGCTTAGATTTTCGCAAATTCATCACATTTTTTTTAACTTGTTATTATCTTGCTAGAAATTTAGCACTTTATTTATGTCTATAAAAAATGCCAGTATTATAGTAAAATTTACATAACAATCTCACCGCCATTACTTTCCGCCGGAACTGTATTGTTATTTAATTTAATAAAGTGGCTACCATTTTCTCCCTTTGATGTTGTAAGAATTTCATCATAAATTCGTAATTTTTCTTGTAAGACACTCGAGATATCTTCATTCTCTTTGATTTCATGTGGAATACTGAAATCGGAATCTGTTTTGCATCACCAAAGAAAAAGATATTGAATTAAAGAAGTTAATGAAAATAATATAACAGCAATTTTTACCTTCATTTGGAACATACAAACTGACACCTGTAGAACCTAATATCAAAAATAAATTTTATAACTAAAATGAAATATCAATATGATTATATTTAGAAGTAAAAAGTACCAGTATCGTTTGGAGTCGAAATTAATTTTAGAGTAAAGATTCGACTAGTGTAAACTGCATTTGGGTGTATCGGTATTTTTTGTTTATCGGTATCATTCAAACATATAAGAAGGTTTTTTTCATATTCTTCTCATTGTCAAGTTTTCTTTGCGATTTCATCTCCTCATCAAGTTCATCTAATCGCTGCTTTTCTAGTTCAAGGCACTTAATAATTTCTTCATGATTTTGATATTCTAAAGAGCTGTAGTACTGAAAATGCAAAGTATTCGGTTTCCATTCCTCGCTTGAATAATACGAGTAGACATCGTAGATAGATCTGATAAAGTCTTCAATTTCCTCAGCAGTTGGTCTGTTTTCTGGAATGGGATCGCAACATTTTTCAACAATAAATTTGCACCATCCAGGAGCATTATTTGATAGCTTAGGTCGAGCTCCATTATAGATATCAATTACAAGCTCTATATCATGATTCCGCTCACCAAATGGTCGTTCACCAGTTACAATCTCGTACATAATCATCCCAAAGCTATAAATATCTGCAGCTCGAGTATAAAGCTTTCCATTTAGCACCTCTGGACTAATATAAGGAAGCACTCCATAAATTTCTCGATTTGATTGATTTAAATTAGCTGGGCTGGTAAGTCCAAAGTCAGTGATTTGAGCAATATCATCAATTAATATATTTCCGGGGTGAAAGTCACGATGCATAAATTCCTCTCTGTGTATTACACTCAGCCCACTGCTAATACAAAGCAAATGTATTAATTTTTTTTCCCAAGTCAATCTTCCATAGTTGGAATTAATATAGTTGCGAAGGTCACCATGTCTTGCATAATCCATTACTATCGAGTATTCGTTTGTAGCTGGGTTTTTAGTTATCCCATAATAAGATATATTACCCTGACTGCACTTTAGAGCAATCAGAATCTATTTTGAAAAACTTAATTAATTAGAAAACAAAAAAGCATCTTGCTTGCACTCTAGAAATTATTTATCTTTACCTCGTTTATAAACCCCAATGTAATTTGTTTTGAATCATGTAATGATTTCAATACAACTTCATGTTTTCCGGATCGTTTAAATTTATTTTCTTTATGACCCCACGTGTAAGGGATACTTATTGGACCGTCCAACCGAATCGCTTTATAAATTGTCCCAAAACCCCCTTTTGCAAGATATTCAACATTGGCAAATCTTTCAAAAGGAATCCATTCAAAAGATATACTGCTATTTTTCGCGCATTCTTTTATTAAACTGTTGATATCTTTATTTTCATCAGACCATTCGGCTTTATAAAGTTGATAGCGATAATCAAAACATGAACGGCAGCGATTCTTTTTTTGACACTTGGTACATTTACTACAATCATGAATATTGTGATTTGAGCATTCATCGCAATGCCAATTTTTTTGACAACGAGCGCATTTACCACAATCATGAGTATTAGACTCCATTTTTATAAAATGTTTTTAGCGTTAGCGTTAGTGATTATGTGTTGTGTTTACATATCGACATGAACGTAGATGTTTGTTATACATGTACAAATTAGGTATTCTTCTGTGTTAATATTATCGTTATGCCTAGCCAATAACAAACATCTACAATACTGCAATATGGCCAATGCTAATAGAGACTTTACGCTTCTTTTGATCTCTAGTAGCAATCCCACTACTACTTCCATCATTATTATTAAGGACACTAATAGCAGTTGTGGTAGTATCATGACTACTACTACTACTTCGTCCCCGTCTTCGTCGTAGTCGTGTATTTCTTTGATTATGATTATGATCTTGATTATTGTTATTACTATTGACGGAGGCACTACGCGTCCTTTCAGAGTTCGCTCTCGCAAACGTATGATCTTGTGGTGGTACCTAATTATAAGATAAAGAAGTAAAAAAACCAAATTCATTAAGAATTTTTTTATATTCAATTCTATTTAAAAACTAATCGATTAACCCCAATAACATCTTGTTCTAGACCATGTTTGGAGGATATTTCCATATATTCCAAAGGTGGAGAATTAATCTATACACATATCGAAACATCCCAATTAAGAAAATTTAACTTTATACTTTAATCAAATTTAAAATACCTCGATGGCATTTGATTCCCCATACTTTTGAGAAAAAGATGGCAAGGGAGAAATTTCCATTGGAGAAGTTTCCTTGGAATTTGCTTCCTCTATAACTTGTAATGCAGCTGGCGGCGGTGGGGTAGCATTAATTCGATTATTAATATTACTTGTGACATTTCGAAAAGGTTCAGAGGCTGAAAGTCTATGATTTGATTCCTCAACAGCTGGTAATGTTACCTTCTAATTAATTAACAATATAAAAATTATCATTAGAGCTAGAATATCGACCGATGTGGTAAAAGTACTGACGTTTTCTTGTAGCATCGGAATTCCTAACAACGGATCAAAATAATTTTCCATCTTGGATTTATTCTCGGGAGATTTAATCACTATAAATAACGGTTCGTTTGAATTTTTTGCCCTGCCATTATTATTCGTCTGCTTCGAATTTTGCTTTATGAAACCTTCATTTTTCAGCCGTTTTTGTACTCTTTGTGTTGCCTTACTGTATTTGATACCTAATTTTGTATGAGGTCCCATTTTTATACTAAATAACACATTTATCTAAAAACTAATATTTTTACATGCTATTTACCTAATCTTTCTCTCAACACCTGATAATTTTTAGGAGGCTCTTCATTCCATAAAATAATTACCATTCGTCGAAGTAAAGCTAAATCTTCTAATTTCTCAATGCTCCAAAGCTCATCATCGTTTTTCGCCGAAACATTATTTTTCTTGTTACGCTCGAATTCCGAATGTAAGCATCTATAGCAAACATGATTTTCTAGCAGTCGTGGATCTCGTTTTGATGTGTACCCGTAACAAACAACGTGGCCCCATGTATCGCATTTTGAGCAGCGAATCTATTTTAAAGAATTACTAATAATATTTGGAATTGACTAAGAAATCACACAAAACACCGACCATCTCTCCATCACTAGTTCTTGAGCCACAATCACACTGACATTTTCCGGGCACCTTTTCTTCTTTTTGGTCTTCTACTTCGTCGCAACTTTGCAATTTCTCCGATACTTGTTGCTTCTGCTGCTCTTGAACTTGTGAAGATTTTCGAGGATTTTTATATGTTTGGGTAATCGCCTTCCGAGGTGAATTAATAGCGATAGTAATGCTATTTTGCTCATCATCGTTGGAAATGTCTGATGTTTTTGCTTCGGCACATAATAATGAGTTTTCGGCTGTTGAAGGAACATGTGGTGGAGTTTGAGAAGCTGGAATTAAAGACATAATTTTTAATTGATATTTTTACCTTCTCTATACGTGATGCTAGAGCTGTCCCTTGTATTGTGGTTATTTTTATTAGTATTGCACTTGTTATCTTTATCTTCGTTACTATCACTACCAACACCAATCTCGGTTATTTGATGCAATGTCTCCTCCATAAAGACTACTGTGGTGTTGTCTTCCTCGTCCTCATCGACTCGAATTATTTCTTGATTATTCGTATTTTGGATATCACCAAGACGTGGAAGTTGATGGACAGGAATAGGAGTAGAGGCAGATGTCGCGGTCGTATTAAACATAAAAGTTTCGTCTTCATCCAAGTCTAATTCTGCACTCCATTTTTCGATGCTTGGCTGTTTTTTCGCATTACCACTAGGCGATTCGATTATCATTGACGAAGAATCGATTATATTGGAAATACGGAATTCTGTATTTGGCTCTTGATCCAGTTCTTCTAGAGTTGTAGAGTCGGCGATTGTTTGAATTGTCAAGTTGAGACTAAAATTAAATTGGATAAAAAAATTATTTGTGAATTTTAAAAACAAGCCAGTTAGTGAGTCATTTATTTTTATACCCATGATAAGCTGTCTCTACTTCGCCGACTGGTATTTTTTCGGGTTTCTGGCCAAAGATCAAGCGTTCTTGGTCACTGCAACTAGCACGAAAAAACAGAGGCTCGTAGTTGGCCGGGGTTACATCTTCGTAGTAGTGGAGCTTTACTACTATGTAACGATTGTCTAATTAAAAAAATAAATGAAATTTATATAACAAGATTTGATTCGGCTAAAATTTTAAAAAAGGAAAATTAAATTTACCTGGCAACGGCTTAATCAAGCAAAATTAAATAAATTAACATAATTTTACTAACGCTAATATTCCTAAGCCGATATAAAGAATAAGCGTAAAAAAATACTACCTTTAATGTCTGAGTAAGCAAAATCAACCGACGCAACAGCTGCTGCAGAGACTTTTTTATCTCACCAATCGTAAATGCATGTTGTTGATTCAGACTTGCGTTACCACTATTATCACCACCAACGGTCGCCAATACCTGCCCCTCATGATTCTCTATTCGGAGTAAGGGCTCGCCGTGTGGATATGTAAGTTTGAAAGTGTAACACTCGACGAGTTTGTTTGGCTCGTTTGGATCGAGAAAGATCCCGAATATGATCGCGCGTAAATATTGGTGTGCTAATGCGTCGAATATACCGGTTTCCTGATCAAGTTAGATACAAGGTTAGATAGGAAAAGGATTCTGGCATCTTTTATATCGTTTTATATTCACCAGCCAATCTAACAATGAGTTCGCTTCACGACTGTAATCGCGCTTGAGGTGTTTTAAAGCAAGACCTATTAAATTGCTATTTGTGAGACTGTCTTGTAAGAAAAAACAATAATAAGATCCGGACTCACTTCCAACTTGAAAATCCTCGTAATTCTCTTCCGGAAAGAGACCTCTAAAAATATTTGTGTTCTTATGAAATTATAAATCGATCGAAGTTATTGGTGTAATAAACACTTGATACAAAGTGCCAAACACTCGCCTCAAATAAGTAATGGAACTCAAACTTGTCTTTAGCAATTGCTTGACAATTGCAAGACTCTGTGTCTGGTTCATGACTTCAGTCTCATTTTTTTGACGTGGATGAAGCTAAAAACAGCAACCCCCAGAAAATTTTAATCGTTTGTATTTTGAAACAAATATAAAACGTCGCAGAAAAAGAGAGCGCGCATTTTTTATTTTTTAAGATACTTGCTTGTGCGAGACTTTTCGCCATTTACTATTTATAATGTTATTAAGAGGTATTAAGAAATATGTATATGGCGTGTTTTTAATCCCAGAATGATAAGAAAGGAGAGAGCGAAATAAAAAATAGAATAATTAAATATACTTTGATCTGATTTGTTTTTTCAAATATAATTCGATATACGTATTGCTTTCAAAATGATATTCGAAATTCCAGCTGTTTAGTCTCAAAGGTAAAAAATTTGAATTTACAACAAGTAGTTTGTAATCGTAGATTACGAATTTATATGCATTCGTTTCGAACTATCAAAACAATTTAGCGTTAACGTTAGTACTTTTTGTTTTTATTTCTCATTCTATGATATACCGATACCTTTTAAAATAGAAATTGTCTGGTAAAAATTATGACATTGCTGTTTCGTTTTTTGTTTGGGCGAATTGGAGCAATATTCTTTTCGGTATCTAGAGCCTGTGCCGATATCTACGGATATCGTTGATTATGTTGATTTTGGGGGGGGGGAGGAGAGACTAAGTGTTTCAGGAGAGCGTTCGGGGGATTTCCTAATTACTGCTTTTTATAGACAAAAGCCTTAAACTCTTAAAAATATTATTAACAATCGTTGCTTTTTCTAGCCAAAGGCTTAAACTCTTAAAAATAACAACGATAATTATGATCACACAAAAACGGTTTTTCATTAACAATGCGATTCTACACAAAACTACGCCTTTCTGGTACAAAGGACTAACCAACAAGCAATACGATATCACGACTGACGTGGGGAAAAGGGGGAAGAGTTTTACAAGCAATAATTCGCTTTTAAGAATAGTTGTACGCAAAGATTCAAGCTGTATTTTGCTTGGAGAAGAATTGTACACAGTTTTATTCTATTGCTTGGAGAACAATTGTACGCAATGTGAATTCTGTTCTTTATTAGTTTGTTACTTTTAATATTACTTTGACTATTAATAAGAATGTTTATATTGAACACTTTAAGATCTATGAAAGAAACTGATGTAAAATGAATCGAAAACTGATGGAAATATGATGAGATGATCTTAAAAAGGGGATGCTGAAAGATGATGAGGAGATGCTGAAAGATGACAAATGCTGAAAAGGACGCTAAAAATTGATGACAAATGCTGTATTTCGACAAAAGCAGACATGGAGAAGGTCATATTTTCAAGCTGTATACCAAAAAGAGAAGCCTGTTGTTTTATCTGTACGTCAAAGAAATTTATAATGTTGTGCTGAAAAATCTACGGCAGCGTTGTTGATAATCGTGATGGAAATTTGCAACGATGCTGAAAAATCCACCAGTTTCGTGTGATCGATTGATTTTTCTAAGATTTATCGATTGGGAATCTATTATACATATTTGGTAATTCGATACTGTACATACAATAAACTAGTAAACAGCACCTATTTAGTGCTAAGGAAAATAATCATTTTTAGCTAAAAAATGGATTTTTCAAATCAAATAATCATAAAGATTAGATTAGATCATTATAATTTTTACTTATAATTAACACTAAAAAAGTTGGTGATGCTTAAAACTATTGGTTTATGATATGTATTGTTATTTATTTAAAAGCCAAAAACATAAAATGAAAAGAATAACAAAAAGAAATTTAATAATAATAATAAAAAATAAAATTCAATAAATCAAAATACTGCTAACTATAATAATAAAAAATTATATTTACTGCTATTAGAACTTATTCAATGCCTCATCTAATATAAATACTATATATTTTACAGATTCATTTTCATCACCATCACAAGGAATGCTATTTTCTGGATCTTTAACTTTTTCATGTTGTTTTTTCTTAAAATATTGTAAGTGTTCTAATAAAGATTGAACATGTTTATTAATTTTATTCCATAAGAATGAGAAATAATACACACACTTGAATCTATTATTAGTATAGCAAAAATTGTGATAAGTATAATAACAAGCTAAAATTTTAATCAGACTGTGTTAATTAATAAAGTGATTGAACAATTAGTTATATCACAATAATAAAATAAATCTGACTTATGTAAAGTATTAAACTTCAAAGAAAAATGAGATAATTATGCTTTTGGCATTTTTATTACTATTAATAAAATGGCAATATCATTAACTTTCTGCTTGCCTTTCTTTGAAGACTGATTCAGATTCATAATAATTTATAATAAAAATATTAATGATAAATTATTATAAATCAAGTGTATATAAATTTCTGAAAAATATTGCAAAAGAAAACATATACTTTCTTTGTAAAAAATATAATATCTTGAGTAGAATATTTATAGATTGTTCATTATTACAATTTATAATTTCTTAATTTTTTATTTTAATTTCATAATTCATTAATTTCTTAATTATAATTTTATAATTTTATACCTTCTTAATAATATATTCAATATATTCAAAATATCTATTATATCTATTATATTTAAAATATTCATTAAGTTAGTTATATCAAAAATATTAATTATATTAAATATATTTATTATATTAATATATTTCAAATTATATAAATACAACATAAAATAAAGTCTTGAGTATTATCAATTGATTATAATAAAAATCTAGTTAGCCAATAAATTATCTCTTATTTATTATTAATGAAATTTGTATAGTCAAATTTCTCTATAGTTATATTCTCTCTATAGTTATCAAATTTTGCTTTTTCAAGAATGATAACTATAGAGAGATTTGATTGTATATTAATTGATTAATTCATAACTATTATATTTATTAATATATTTATATTTTGTATTATTAAATATTAACTAAATTAATAAAAATATTAATACTATATTATTTTAGAACTGTTTTATATTAAGTAAATATATCATTTATTAGTAATAGTGAGAGCTTATTTATTAGATAAAAGAAAATGCACTATATAGTAATTTTGAAGTGATATAATTTGATGAAATCATGTATATGAAATACAAATATAATATAGATATTAGTTAAATATCTCTATCATGAAAATATTTATTCAAAAGTTCAATATGTAAATATATATGTATAGTTTTTTATAAATTTATTATTATCTAAATATAATTAGTTAATATAATATTTATATTTAATTATCTATTGTATCTTAGTATATTTTTGTATATTTTAATATAAAAAATTATAAAATATTTCTATAATTATATCTGAAAACTTTAAAATTTTAGCTTTAATAATCTTTAAAATAGAATGATTATTTAATTTTCAATAAAATATATTTGAAAAAAATATTAATAATATTTTAATATAATTCTTGTAATTAAATTTGTAAAATATTATTTATATATAAAAACAAGATTTTAAGTAAGTATTAAAATTATCAAATTAGAAAAATAATATATAAATATTCAAAATTAAAGGAATAAAATTATAAATCAAATCTTTTAGTGCAAAATATTTAGTATTTTTGCATAAAAATTCAAATTTGCTTTAATACTCATTAAAATTTTCTGTCAAATACTACAAGAAATCTTCAAAAATAGATTAATATATTATTATGAGTTTCAACTTTTAATAGATATAATCAAACTTTTTTATAATTATATTTATTTATAATTATATTATTTTATTTTTCTATTTACATATAAATATAGTAAAAAAATCACTCTATAGTCACATTCTTTCTATAATCACCAAATTTTGCTTTTCTAAGAATGGTAACTATAAAGAAATTTGATTATATTCTTATAATATAAATATTATTATAATTTAATTTTTAAAACTTTTTTAATATTATTATTAATTGTAAATTCAACCAATTATTTATTTATATTTTTAGTTAATAATTTTAATTCAGTTACTTTAAGATTAATATATAATATATTTTTTTTATTTTAATAAATAAAATAGGATATTATTACTATTAATAAATATAGTACTAATATTTTATAGCAATTTAATTGAATGTCTAATAATATGTAATAATTATTATTATTATAATAATATATTATTTAGTTAAATTTTGTATATTAATAATAAAATAATTAAGTAATAGATATTTTATTAAAGATATTTTATTTAAGTTATTAATTGAACTAATTGCTATAACTTGCTTTTTTATAATTACAAGACCAGCTGTATTTATATTGTTATCATTTTAATATAACTTTAGATTCTGTCACGAGAGTACATATAATAGAGTTAGGTGGGAGAGTTAATGTATTAAATAACTTTAAGTTGGGAGAGTTTACTAAGTTATCTAAAGGTAAGTAATGTATGTTCATTTTGTTGGTCAGCTAGAATGAGATTAGAAAGATTCAAAGGTAATTGTGTATCTTTTATAATTCAATTTATAATAAGTTGAATATTTCTTTTTAATTTAGTTTATAAACAAGTAAAATATAATTTTCTTTTATTAACTCAATATTATTATTGACTTCACAATATAGACGAGAGGTCAAATACAAGAATATATAAGATAATATAACTTTGCAATAGTGATGAGAGATTATAAAACAAATACAAGAATAACTTTGCAATTAAGATGAGAGGTTATAAAAATATTATCTAAAGGATTATTAAAAGAATATAAAATTGAATTAATTTCTAACTTGTTACTTGTTACTTTTCTAAGCTAAGATACAAGCTGTATTTATAAGTATTTGATAATTATAAAATGATCATTTGGAATGATCATTCAGAGCATTTGGAATGATTGTTTGCAATGATCATTTGCAATGATTATTTGGAATGATCATTTGCAATGATCATTCAGAGCGCTTGAAATGATTAGTTGGAATGATCATTTAGAATGATCATTCAGAGTGACCATGTGAAGCGATCATGTGAGATAATCATTTGTGATTATGAAAATATCTAATCACAACAGTATCAAACAAGTTAGTATATTTATCAAGTAAT